CACGAGTACGGGCTAAGATTTAAGCTGATTTAGGCTTATCATTTAGGCACAGGGAGGGCCAGTCGTTAGCACAGGCTAAGGGGTGCCATTAGTCGGTGACCTTTGGTAAGCCGCTATTTATGAACGAAAAATGGATGACGCACAAGGTTCTATTTCTGCTGCTGGCATGTTTCGTTCTAATTTTGAAGCGACGTGCATAGGAACGCGAGAGAAGATGAACCCAACTTATTTGGATGCACATAAACAGTATACAACAGGCGTAACAGAATACAGAGTTTTATTAATGCATGTCGTAGACAGCGAACCAAATATATTTTGTCTACGATTGGAGCTGCTGTACGCTCTACTACAGTGACCCGATTAGTGTGGAAGCGAGCGCGGAGTCATGACTGGTGAAATAGTGTCGTTATACGAACATGGGACAATTTTCACACCCAAAGGTCGCCGCAGAGGGCTTCGCGCATACTTCGTTAGCCCGTGCTAAGGTCTACACCGCGTCTTAAATTCGGATCAGATTTAACCCGTATTTAGCATTCCTTAGCCTGTGCTAAGCGTTCACGCACGTTTTCTTAGCACGGGCTAAGGAATTTGACCTCTTAGCCCGTGCTAAGGAGCTGTGCGTGAACGCAACTATTTTAAACAGTGTAAACAATAGACGATAGGAAACATTATGGACTGTAGTCAATATAAACAGTTTGAAACATTGTTAAAAAGTATTGAATGTAAACTATGAAATACTATCGACAGTAAAAAAGAATATTGACAGCAAGAAATGATGTAGACGATTGGAAACAGTGTATCTATTTTACAGTGCATTACATAGTAGTCTTAATAGAGCTATAATCTATAGCATCATGCAGTCTCTCTATCTCAGTTTCATACCTACAACAACTTTTCTTAGATTTAAAACTAGAAATCACCTTTTTCAGGTGGAATTAATTATTTTCTCATGTGATAGCTTTTACATTATAATACCAACCACTACCCATTATTGAAAAGCACATTCTCATTAATCAATCTGTTCCATGTGCAGCCCTGTTATCAGATGATAACTAGACAGTTCTTATATAGCCCTGTTCTTAAGGTCAATTCACAAACAGACAATCAAATAATGCATTTGAATCATCAATATCCAATGTTTTTTCATATCTGTATGGATTTTATTTACAACTAACCCAACAGGAATTGTTAACGTTCAAAAATCATGGTCATTTTCACTTGTAAAATCACTGAGCGTGTTTGTGTAATTTGTTTGTTGAACGTTTTAGACATACTTAAAATACAAGCATTAACCTCACGCTACTACACAGCACTTTTACCTCAAGCTACGTATATTCAATTTTGGTTTATCATAATTGGTATAAAGTTCAACGAACTGTCCATTTTTGCATAATACCAGGGCTTGGACAGAGATGTTTACTGAATAATAATGGACAGTGTGACATTTTTCCTAATTGATGCATTTTCTGAGAATAGTGTCATATCGATCACTAATGGATACATTATGGTGCTAGTTGATGATTGAGTTCATTTCAGCATGTGAATGGTATAAACACTAATACAAAAGAATGGTTTTATTAATAACTATAACATTTTTTCAATAATATATCTTCTTCTGTCATTTGGGAGATGCATGTCCAATTTAATAAAAAATGTAAAATCTTGAGTTTTCTGTTATTAAGGTTGAATGTAGATTGGGAAACAAGCCTGCATGATGTAAAGACTTACTTCCTCTTCTATTTACAAGGGAATGCAACAAACATGTATTTGATATCCTGCTAGATAAGTCACACACACTATAGTGTGGATATTGTATGCCCTTTGCTCATCAACCCTTGAAATCAGTCCACTCACAGCATCTGTTGCATGTGAATTGCGTTCACCAATGTCCAGACAAACTGAACACCTGAATATTCCACAACTGTTTAACAGTGAATGATATATGAATTTATCTAAAATTAGATTCATATTCAGGTTAATTTTTTTGAGTATAAGATTCTAAAAAGTTCACTTTATTTTTTCTTTTATTGTTTGGTACCAGCAAAAGCTGTTATTTTCATCACAAAACAAAATAAATTTATTTAATCTGTCGGTGAAACAAACAACATTCAATTTGTGTCTTGATATACAGAAAGATTTAATTGTTTTTTAATATTTATGAATAATCAACTTGAATGAATCAGGTATCATTCACTAGTGCATGTTTGTTTCCATAGTAACACATTGCTGTGTGTTTTCCCCTTTTAGTTAAAAATAGCTAAAGACAAACAGGAACAGGTAATTCATGTTGCCATGACAACATTTTGAAGAAGTTTAAATGCACAATATCTATTTTTGTTCATTTCAATTATTTGTAATATATTTCCTGCAACTTTATTTCTTTAAGGTCACTTTGTCATTGTTTTTTTTTCTATACAAAATATAATAATCCACTTTTCTTCTATTCACCTCCAGTTAATTGTTTCAAATTATTTCTTATATTCTTAAATCTTAAATTTGTTTCCCTTCCACAATGCTGATTCTTCTCCTAGGCATCTCGTCAACACAGAAACAAATTTTCCTATGGGGTTTGTCTACTCTTTGGTTCTTATATAGATATGCATATCCGCTTCACAACCCTGTATTATTGGATATTATACCCCTGTAATGTCCAGTGTGTTATTGAAAGTAGTGGTTTGGTGGTTGTCTGTAATTTGTATTTATTTATGTTATCAGTAAATCAGTGATAGAAAGGCTTAGTATTCTAACAAAGAATTGTTGTGTGGAAAAGTCTGGTGACATATACATCATGATATAACTATAATTGATTGAGTTCATGATGAGGAAACTACTACTCTGTTATAGCTGTATCTGAATAATCTGTGTAAAAGTGGTTGCCTTGAATCCTGTATCTTTTCTCTATAAATGTCTTCCTTCTACTTATATCTTTTCTACATAGAATGTGCTTGAATATATTTGTTTATTTTTCAATTTATATTTTTGTAGGAGATTCTGCAAGATGAAATAGACTGGTGGTCTAAGTATTATGCTTCTATTGGTGATATGGACAAATGTGGTGACTATCTGGATAAGGGATATGATACAGTCACTGTAAGTCACCTTTACTTATTCTTTACTTACTAAATCTTAAGGTATTCTAATGACCAGGGAAACTATATGTTTGGGGGGAAACCTGGATGCACATTCAAGTCATCAATGAAAAATTGAATATCTTTACACTTTTTTGTACTACATTAAAAATATTATACCTCAATAGTTAGTTCACTTAAAGTGAATATTGAATACTTCCAACACATTATACCATGTTAATATTTTTAAATAATATTGCAGGTTTTTGAACAACCTTTAGAAGAAATTGATCACAATAATCATTTTACTGATTTTTGCGACACATTTGAGTTAAAACGTGGTAAGACAAAAGATGATGAAGAATCCGACATTGTGGGAGAATTTAAGGTAATAATTAAGTGATATACGGTAACTGATATCTGTGGGCAATTGCAAAATGTTTGAGATTTTTAAACTTCTCTTTTCAGCCTTGCTATTGAATTAGTGGAAATTTGAATTTTTTGACTTCTTCTTAAAAACAGTCTGTATGAGTTTGTCATTTTGGGAAACATATGTTCAGTTTAATACACTATTTTTATTTCTGATATTATAATTATCTCCAACATTAAATCCATGCCTTGAATTCATTCTTCACTCTTATACTTTGGTACAGATTGTTTGTGAAATGTGCATTGGTAACAGCAGTGCTATATCACACTGTCACAGTGTAATTTTTTTAATTATAATGTATTCTTCTTCCAGGGTACATTCCGAGTTTATCCATTGCCAGGTGATCCCAATGCTCCATTGCCATCAAAACATCTCCGTTTTCTTCCAAAGAGTGATCCCGAAGAGTGCCTAATTAGGGTGTACCTCATTAAAGCTGTTGATTTACAACCACAGGATCCATCAGGATTGGTCAGTTCATAATTTGTTAATTATTTTCAAATATAGTAAAGTTATAAGCACAAAAATATATATAAAATATTGAATCATAGAATATGTTTGTTTGTCAGTGTTGTCAAAAACTTTTATATGTAGTTTAGCACATCTTAAATTTAATTTTGTTATATATATATATATATATATATATTTATTATTAGACTGTTGTTTGGTAACTTTTATACAATTCATGTTATATAACTCTGTTGTGGACATTGACATGTAATATGGGTATTATGAGGAAAACATTGCCTAATATTTGTCTTGCCAATTTTTCTTAGTAACTTTTATACAATTTTATTTTTCTAAGGAACATTGAGATTTACAGTACATATAGTTTTATTTGAGGAACATGAATATTAATTAATTTATGATTTCTTGATTTTGATATTTTTAGTCAGAATTAATTTTAGCTTGTATTTTTTGCACAAAATGTTCAAATATATTATTACATTGTTTCAGAATATATGTACTCACTTTTACTATGAAAAGAGGAAATCATGCATCTGTAGTTTATAACTATTCATTTGTTATTTAATCTCAATGGGTAAAAATTCACAGGTTATTTCTAAAGTTGTGCTCTCATGTTTTCTATTCAAATTATCCATCGTATTTGTACTAAGTAAAGTGATTACTCAATTGCATAATATTTCTAGAAATGTAGTCTTGTTTTTCAATTTTCTGATCATTTCACTTTTATAAACTGTTGCATACCCTCTTGGTATAAATCTTCGATATTAATGTTTCTAATGATACTGATTGGCTAACAAGGTATTATAGCGCCACCAAGTGGTTGATATGTGCGTATGGCACCACACAACTTGTGTGCAGTCACACTTATAACATTAAAATACCATCGTTATAAATATTCATACAATGTGCAGCAACATTCACACAGTTTTCTTTTTTCTATATATATTTTACAGTGTTTTTTGACTTGCTAAATGATATAAAATTACATCCAACTATTTCTCACAGTACACAAACGAATGCCTATATTAAGTTCTGATAAAAGTAAAATTTCATCCGAGTTTTGACATGAACTGCTGCATTGCTATTTGTCAGAATTGGATGTTGTGCATGCAACACCATGGAAAGGTGAAAAAATCTGCCAACAATTGAACTTTGTTTACAACTATTCATCTAAAGTGGTACTTGTGGTACATTGTTTTTTTAGGCAGATCCTTTTATCAAATTGAAACTTGGTAATCAAACTATTTCAGATGTAGATAATTATCTTCCTAACACCATCAATCCAGTATTTGGCAAGTAAGTATTCAGTTTCATTGCAAACATTTTTTAATAAAAATGTTGTATTGGGATATTAATTTTCATGATTACATACTGAATAGATAATATCTACTGTGATCCATATTAATACAGTAACTATATGTTCTCTATGCCTCCAATACAATAAGTTTTTTTTATTATATGTACCATTAGTATGTGTTATGTGCTTTGTACTTGTATAGTAGTTGGGGCATACGCCTATATATGGTATATCATAACACATCATTGCCTATATTTTGACATGACGTTACGTCTATACATGTACATTATCAACGTATTATTCCAACATTTTCAAGGGCAGTGACATTATACATTATGTCAGCACACATTAAATACCTGACACAATACTGATGGCATTATTAAACCTCCCAGTGCCATATTACTCTTAATTTGATAGGTAGTTTGCTCACTGCAATATCTTATGTATAATTCACTTCTCATTCAATATTGCACTGTAAATCATTCAATATATCAAATTATATCACTCTCAGGCCAGTGATATTTTTCACTTCTAAACTATGCACATTTTACAGCATAGATCCTTGTTATCTACTTAGGAATTCAAATTTATTTCAACACATTGCCTTGTTGTGTTGAAATTTCTATGAATGAAAATTTGCATAACAAAATACCAGGATGTGTGACCTTTATGCATAAATTCATACACACGATGACAATGTCTCCATCTATGTGTCTGTACAGAATGTTTGAAATGAAAGCCATGATTCCTGTCCACAAAGACTTGAAAGTCACCATTATGGACTACGATAGATTCAGTCAAGATGACATCATCGGTGAAACAGTAATTGATTTAGAAAACAGATTGCTAACAAAATTCCGAGCAACATGCGGCCTCCCGAAGACCTACAACACGTAAGTTTGAGAAGCCATTGATAAATCAATTGTTTTACTTATGCTTGTTTTGATATGCAAATGATTTACTAAAAACCCAAATATGCTCCTATACTAAGGTACATCTTAGCAATTATGGAAGAGAAAGGAAGAAGAAGACATCATCACAGTTTATATAATTAGACTTTTGTGTCATAAATTTGTCATGGAAACTGAACTGAAAAATATAAAACTATTATTTATTGATTCTTTCTAAAAAACTGATCCAGATTACATGTGCAAAATTGCTTTTGAAAGTAAACAAGTCTAAAACTGGTCTAAAAAATGTAAATTTTTTTGTCTTTGATTATTTTTACAGATCTGGTCCAAATGTGTGGCGTGATACCCAGACACCAAAGCAGATACTAGAAGATTACTGTAAGAAAAATCTTCTGCATGAACCACGTTATTATGGAAATAATAGTCTAAGTGTAGAGGGCAAGATGTACAACCTGGCAGATTTCGGTGAGTTCAGTTTTATGCATGGACACTTCCTCTCCACTCAATGTATTAGGCTGCATAGTGTACCAGACTGCTTGGCATGCCCAACTACTTAGTGTGCCAGACTGCACGGTGTGCCAGACTGCACTGTGTACCAGAATACATGGTGTACCAGACTGCTTGGCATGCCAGACTGCATGGTGCACCAGACTGCTTGGTGTGCCAGACTGCATTGTGTGCCAGACTGCATGGTGTGCCAGACTGCTTGGCATGCCAGACTGCTTGGCATGCCTGACTGCTTAGCATGCCAGACTGCTTAGCATGCCAGACTGCTTAGCGTGCCAGACTGCTTGGTGTGTCAGACTGCATGGTGTACCAGACTGCATGGTGTACCAGACTGCTTGGTGTGACAGACTACATGCTGTGACAGACTACATGGTGTACCAGACTACATGGTGTGCCAGACTGCTTGGTGTGCCAGACTGCTTGGTGTGCCAGACTGCTTGGCGTGCCAGACTGCTTGGCATGCCAGACTGCATGGTGAATCAGACTGCATGGCGTGCCAGACTGCATGGCATGCCAGATTGCTTGGCATGCCAGACTGCTTGGTATGCCAGACTGCTTGGTGTGTCAGACTGCTTGGTGTGTCAGAATCCATGGTGTTCCAGACTGCATGGTGTTCCAGACTGCATGGTGTGCCAGACTGCATGGTGTGCCAGACTGCATGGTGTGCCAGACTGCATGGTGTGCCAGACTGCATATTGTGCCAGACTGCTTGGCGTGCCAGACTGCATGGCGTGCCAGACTGCTTGGCGTGCCAGACTGCTAGACGTGCCAGACTACTTGGTGTGCCAGACTGCTTGGCATGCCAGACTGCATGGTGTTGCAGACTGCATGGTGTGCCAGACTGCATACATTTGACCTAGTTGTTTTGTCCTTCTGAGTGTAGATGTGTGACATGCAACATTTGCTGCTCATTGCTAATAAAGTGTTTTCTACACTAGAAACAAATCACATTCACAACGAGTATCAAGGACCCTCAGATCAGCGTCTTGCACTGTATACTTTACACCAATATCCACTCGTGAGAGAACATATAGAAACAAGACCATTGTATAGTCCACTGCTTCCTGGAATAGAACAAGGAAAGCTACAGATGTGGATTGATATATTTCCAATAGGCATAGGGAGACCTGGACCTCCATTTGACATCACACCCAGAAAGCCTAAAAAGTGAGTTCTCATGGTTATCTTTCTGAACAAACAAGAGTACAGCTCTTAAAATCAACTACATCTGTTTGTAGTCAAAATTTGTGCTAAAATTATTCACTAATCGGCTATACGTTCTGTTTTGCAGGCATATTTTACGATGTGTTATTTGGAACACTTCTGACGTGGTATTAGATGAGACTTCTATTACTGGTGAAAAAATGAGTGATATCTATGTCAAAGGGTGAGTTTTATAATTTTCTGCTTTAGAGTGTGCAGTCTGCAATAGCACTTGATTTTATTGTAGTGAAACAATAAATTACTCAGACAATAAACAACACAATGCATCAAGTTTCAATCATTGAACTCCATAACTCTCAGATTTGATTGTCAGACAAGTTGCTCAAAATTGAAAGAACTCTCCACTAAGATTTGCTAACAATACTAACTCTAACAAATTGATCATAAAATAGTCTTTATGATAGATCTCAGATTAAAATTTTTAGCTTTTCCATCATCAATTCTATTTTAGACTTGTTTATAAACTACCATCCCAATAAGTCATTTTCCACTTCATGTGAGACTGTTAAATTTGCCTAGTATCCGGCTGCTAGTCATGTGGTACAGGTCAAGCTTTGATTCAAAATGGCGCTTAATGCATCAAATTTTCTAGTGATTTCTTGCATCTGTTTCATGTTTTCAACCTAATGTCTGAATGATGGTGCCACAGCACAAAAACTTTTATCATCTAACTATAAAAAGAATATTCTTCTTGCCATCGCTAAAGCTGTGCATGATTTGGGACTCGAGGAAGACCCTGATTTGTTATGATCTTAAAAACAACATCGCTACAAGACTTAGCAAACGTGGTTGTAATTTCACCGATCCTATGAAATTACCTGGTTACTCTAGACTCTAGATCCAACGTTGTCAAGTATTCTGCATTAGCACTCTCCATACCTATATATAGCTCTATGCAACGACTCAAATCTGAATTACAATATCACACAATTCTATAGCACAATGCATAATGTAAGGATAATACCAACTATAAAGCACAATACAAATGTACCTATATAATGAGGCATATTTTCATCTATAATAAATTCAAATATTACAACTTATTCTTGTATGTCGCAAATGATATCGCAATGTGGCAAATAACATAACATACTGGTCGTCACACCTTAGTGCTAACAGTGCTATTTAATGTGTCATCGATCCAACTATGACTGGAAGAAACTCAGATGATAGAAGGACTGCTCATGGCATAAAAACCATTTAATGATTTTAAATTATCTTGCGACAGGCATGTGGTTGACCTGCAGTATGTACACATTGATTTTCAAAACAAGTTCACTTGTTTCAGTGACAACCTTATCTTCTGTGATTCAAATATACCACATTCAACACCTCTTGCAGTCGCCCGGGTCTGAATGCAACTCTGTAGGACCTTTTTTATTCCACAAAGTGCAGTAAACAAGTGTATGTGTCCTTGGTGATTTGGTGTTGAATGAAATTGTCTGCTCAAAAGCAGGCACTAGCTGATCCATCTATCACACATTTCGCACTGTGTTCTTGGTTTAGGAAATCGTACCATTCATATAATATTTGTGCTGAATGCAAGAATCACTCTTACATTCACCATAAGTACACAGTTTAACTTCCATTGTAGCTGATAATGTTCCTTGATAAGATTTACAACACGCAGGGCAATGTGGTTGCCACCATATTGAATTGAAAGCTTGACCTGTGTCATGTGACTCAGCTGGTTGCTAAGGTGCATGAATTGTGGTCATGTGTGATCTTGCAGCTTGTGGAACATGGCTTATTGCTTTGATACTTGGTATGTGGAGTGCATTAGTTGACCTCCATGAGATTTGTAACCAATCTATTTATAAAGGCAAGAACATTGTGAGAACACTAATGACCATGGCAAATTGTTAATAAATTTGTTTTGAGGAAGTCAAAAATAGCAGAGCTATTTTCTCTATTAGGTCACATGTTTTGTACTATTGTATATCTGATTTCATGAAACCAAATCTAAATTTATTTTCAGGTGGCTGATGGGTCAGGATGAGAAACAGGAAACAGATGTTCATTATCGCTCATTGGATGGCGATGGCAATTTTAATTGGAGATTTGTTTTTCCCTTTGATTACATTCCACCTGAACAAACCATGATTGTGAAACGAAAGGTAATATTCTACTCAAATAAAGCAATTCAAATAGAATAGTGATAACAGATTGACAGTCTAGCTCTGTATAAATATTCATGTTTTAAGTAACCAATGATGTTGAAGCAGCAAACTTGTAGTTTTCTATACAAACATTGATGATGTTGAAGCAACCTATTTATGGTTTCAGGTATGACAAGAAAGGAATTAACAATTAAGATGATAGACATTATACAGATGCATCAATACATTACGAAGATTGAATGTCTCCTTTATTCAGTTGAATAGTATACAAATTGAAAACTGAAAATTTAAACATATTTAATTGAACTCTAACCTAAATTTCACACACATTTATCACTAAGTTTACTGTTTTCATAAGTACCACTGAATGTAGCTTTGTATTAAAATGTATCACTGACCTGTGATCAATGTGTCACTGACCTGTGATCAATGTGTCACTGACCTGTGATCAATGTATCACTGACCTGTGATCAATGTGTCACTGACCTGTGATCAATGTGTCACTGACCTGTGATCAATGTGTCACTGACCTGTGATCAATGTGTCACTGACCTGTGATCAATGTGTCACTGACCTGTGATCAATGTGTCACTGACCTGTGATCAATGTGTCACTGACCTGTGATCAATGTGTCACTGACCTGTGATCAATGTGTCACTGACCTGTGATCAATGTGTCACTGACCTGTGATCACTGTATCACTGACCTGTGATCAATGTGTCACTGACCTGTGATCAATGTATCACTGACCTGTGATCAATGTGTCACTGACCTGTGATCAATGTGTCACTGACCTGTGATCAATGTGTTCTGTAGTCACTCATTCTGTGTACTAAATGTTCTAGGACCATTTCTGGAGTTTGGATGAAACAGAAGAAAGAGTGCCGCCAACATTCATTATACAAATATGGGATAACGATCAGTTTTCACCGGATGATTTCTTAGGTAAAAAATTAAAATTTTTGTTTATATCTGATTGTTGTTATTGTGATTTAAAGATCAGAAGTTTATATTATCTTACTTTGTTTTCAAATTGATGTTTCACCAACATTGTCAACTTTGTAATTTTTTTATCTTTTCACCAACTGTCTGATTGTTAGTCAGCTGTTTGTCAGGATAGTATTTACCCACATACTATGTGTTAGATATTTCTTAAATACTGTAGGATGGGAAATTTTCATTTTTGCGGCAAAGCAAATTTCGTCTAATTTGCACATTTTATTAGTTGCGTTCTCCTTGCAGACGAATTACTAGTATTCAACTTTGACCTTTCATTTATACATGTTTGTCAATAAATTTTAAACAGAATCTTAACAAACAAGTCATTGTCAATGACACGTCCCCGTTTCATTCATATTTGAGTGACATATACATTCAAAGCAGATCATGACCGAAATGCACCTGCATATGTACAACACATTGTGCTAAATCTGAACAAAATCCATCCATGCATGACTGAGATCCGGTTCTGGAATTGTGAAAATACGTGATTTTGATGCATTTTCGGCCTTAAAATGGCCATCATTCCGCTATTGTTAAGCAGATCATGAAACAAATGCACATATCTATTTGTGACATGATGTACCATGTGTGTGTGAAGTTTGAACTTGATCAATCCAGACATGTCTTGGATACGAATCCAGAACTGAATTCTTTAACAAAATGGCCGCCAGTCGGCCATT